CATGCTGTCTATCGATTTTTAATTTTGATTTGCTACAGCCCCATGAGTCTTTGTTGTGGTTCCTCTGCCGTAGCAAAAATTTTGATGCTCCCCGGGGAAAAAAAGGAATCGAAAGGCTGAAATGGCTTATCATTTCATTATTTCACATTTTTGCGGAATTGATTTTAAAAGCTGTGTATTGTATTGCATTCAAGTGGTAACGATTTTGTAAAAACGCTGTTAAATTATTAGAGTTTCTTGAAAATGTTTAAATTTGTGTTACATTATTTTAAAGCATCATTTGTTTAATAAATTATTGAATGATTTTGTATCTATTTGCACTAACAAAATATTTTATCAAATTTATTATATCTCACTACTAAACAATACAAAAGGCTTTAATTACATTTATGTGACTTATAAACTCTTGTAAAAATTAAACCGTAAACAAAATTAGTTTGACTTTTTATGCATATTTGTTCTTACTAAAAAAATAAATAGTCTGAAGCTAAAAATGCAAAGAAAGAAAAATCCCAAACAATAATGTTATGTTAATGTTATATTAAAATATATTATATTTAAATAAAAATAGTTCAAGAAAAAGCTTAACAAATTTGGAATATAAATTTGTTTCTGCAGAGTATTTTATATATTCGTCGATTTCCTGCCATCTCATGTTGTTATTTGTTTGTACATATATATCTACTATATATTAATGTGGGCTGCGACTCAGCTGACACATTTCGCATTTTGGGTGATGGATGTGCGGCAATAATTTCGGCTATTTATGCAAACGTAGCTTCTTGTTGTTATCAATGGATGGTCCTTAGTTCCCCGGTTTTCCCAGGGATGTTTGCCTTTTTATGCGGGTCAACGTTTAACCTTTACCTTGGCGGCAGACATACATCAAAATGCGCAGATCAAATGCTGACTTTTTGGGGTCTGAAACAAGGCAACACGTGTGTTGTTTCCAGCCCGATGCGACATCTATCGGAGATATGGAAATATATATATATATATTGTAGAGGTATGTGGAAGCTCTCCACTTATGCAAATTGAAATGCAAATAAGCCATGCCGACTGTATAGGCGTTTTATGTTCAAATCTCCCCGAAAGTCGGCTGCCTTTTGTGTTTCGTATTTCGTGTATTTCGTATGTTGTTATGGCACGCTTTATTGAATTCATTTAAAAAACAAGAGAGAACGCTATAGTCGGGTTGTTGTCCCGACTATCTAATACCCGTCACTCAGCTAAAGGGAGTGCGAACGCTGTGTCGGGTTGGTGTCCCGACTAATAATCGTAACTCAGCTAAAGGGAGTGCGAGGGAGATAGATATATAATTTTTGATTGCGTATAACTTTTTAATGAATGGTCCGATTTGAAAAATGTCTTCTACATTTCGATAGGTATAAATATACACAACAAAATTGCATTTATACTTCTCGGAAATCTTTCAAGATGTGGGCGCAGGACCCATTTTAAAATCGTTAGTGAGCGATTGTGGGCGTTAGAGGGGGCGTGGCGCTCGGCTAAAATAAACTTGCGCTGCGTAGGAAGCCAAAGAATATGTGTGGGAAATCTCAACCTTCTAGCTTTTGTAGTTTCTGAGATCTCAGCGTTCATACAGACGGACAGACAGACAGACGGACAGACGGACATGGCTAGATCGACTCGGCTAGTGACCCTGATCAAGAATATATATACTTTATGGGGTCGGAAACGCTTCCTTCTAGCTGTTACATACTTTTGCACGAATCTAGTATACCCTTTTACTCTACGAGTAACGGGTATAACAATTTATCTTTTTGCCTGCCACGGCTGCTGTTATGTTGGGAAAGGCATTTTTCCACCCGTTTTCTGTTCTTCCCTTTTATTTTTTTATGGAAGCGAAAAACCTTGGAAAAAATCGGCCAGAGTTGCAGCGCCTTTTGTCTAACATCCCAATTAGCCTTTTGTTTCGATGTCAATGCGAAAACAGGCAAACCCTTTCTTTTTTCACTATTTTTCACCCATTCATTTCGAGTGCAAGCTGTGAGCATAAAAAATTGTAAGGATTTTTGCTCCTGTCGGTCACGCCTTTTAAGGATCACAATTGCCTTTTGTGCACCGCCTCCTGTCAATGACTAAATGTATGGCTGTACAGAATATAAAAAAAATTGGAGGAAAGAAAGAAATCTGATGGCCTTTTAACAACTAGAAGTTGAGTTGAAAAACTGGGAATTTTTCTTTTGCCTTTGAGTTTGGATATGGCATAATGGGCAGTTCGTAAGGATTTCTAAGAGTGGAAAGGATTTAACTAGGAATATCACTTGAGGACTGACTCAAAGAATGTGCATTACAAATTGTGTTGGTTTCATTTGTAAAATAAAAATTCTTAATTTTTTCATTTTATTTTAAAGTATTTTTGATTTGTTTAATACAAACAAGTAAAATAAAATGTAGAAATTTAACATTTTTTATTCCAGGTTATAGATTATTTTAAAATTATTATTTCTCAAACCATTTCTGATATATTATATAATTTCTTTGATTCTGTTAAATGTAAATCCCATCATTTTGTTAATGGCTTCCTCAATTTCCCACCCATATATTTTAAATATTTCTGTGCCTCTTCCTGCTTTGCACCATTAGTCTGAATCCCAGGGCCACATAAATCAAGCAAATTGTTTAACGGGCGATTAGCAAAATTGTGTTATAATAATTCTTATTTTATTTTCGCCTGCTTGGCGCTGTTCCATTTTGCTGCCTACACGTTTTTGGCATTTGCATGTTTCTGCGGCTGCTGCTACTTAGCGGAAACATGCAGTACATGTATCTGCTGGATCATTTATTTATTATGCTTGTCGTCTGCTGGTCTCCGCCTCATTGCCCCGCCCACTGCCACGCCCCCGCCCCCTCCCCCGCTGCCAGCCCCCTTAACCTTGCGATGGGCTTTTTGTCTGGCATGTATTTTGAATGGCCTGTTGAAATTTTCCAAGCGATTTGCAGCATACGCCGCATTGAATGTATTTTCCCTCCTCACTCTCTCAATCTTTTATTATTATTTTTGTTGTTGTGTTTTTCGCCGCCTTTTTGTTGTTGTTTATTCACGCTCAAAATGCTGTGGAAAATGATTATTATGATTAATAAATAAATATGCTGGCAGTTCTCTGTGAGCAGTATTCAACGCATTTCATTCAAACAGTTCGAAAAGTTTCGGCCACACCCTCTGCTTTTCTCAACATGTTTTCCAATTTTATAGGGAGTTTCAATACGTAAGTTATGGTAAATACGTAGCGTATACGCAATGTGTTACCAGTGCTTAAGTTCAATGGAAATATGTTGGAAATTCCTTTCAGATTATATTTAAACACAATGTCTGTATATTGGGAAAAGCGTTTCTTTTTTTCTCAAAAATAACACTGTGCAACATTTTTAGGGTTATAAAATGTAACCGCAATTCTGATTTCATGGGCGGAAAGAACTCATCGAAATAAGCTAAAACCCATTTTGGTTTCTCTGGCTTAGTTCTTCAGTGATTATGTAGCTATGAACTCAAGGAACTAAATTGACAAATGACTCTGGAGAGAAGCTGGAGAGAGTTTTGAAAGAAACACAATCAAATGCGAAAATATTACAAAAAGACGGACCATGTGTGGTTACGGATGCCCCCAATCAATGTGGGGCCTTTTGCCTTGCCGCTCTGATGCCACTTCTTCGATCACAACGATAATGTTCAAAAGCAGTTAAATGTCCTTGCTGAATTATTAAGGGAAACTCAGTCAAAAATAGATAAAAATGAAGAAAAAACACTGGGTAATATTATAAATCAAACAGAAACGTTGGAAAAATTCGGTTTCAATGAAAAAGACAAAAAAGTAGAATGCAACAGCATTCAGCCGCCGAAGAGAATTCCGCCAGGCTTTAAGAAGATTGGTTCGAGATACTTTTCTATTTCTCGCTTTGTTATGCAGTGGACTGACGCCGAACTCTTCTGTCGTCAAATCGGTGGATTTTTAGCAGCCTTCCAAAATCAAGAAAACGCCATCAAACCGAAATTAATTTCTGGCCAGATTTATTGGTTGGGTATCAACAGAAAGGAGGGCAAGTTTATTTCGGTGGCCTCCGGAAAGCCTTTCCCCTTTTTTCAAATGGGGAAATGGTGAACCCAATAATGTTGGCGGCAAGGAGGACTGCGTTACCCTACAAAACGACTTTATGAATGATCTTCCGTGCGATCGTTACGCTCGTATAATTTGCCAATTAGATATTGAAGCTTAATTTATGCTTTAACACAATGAAAAGTCAGTATAAGAATAAATATACAACGCTTAACGAATACTTTTGTAGATTTAAACTAAAAATATTTAAACATATTTAAACTGTTTTTTAAACCTAAGACAAAAACAAATTTGATTGAAAATTTCAGAAAAAAACAAGCTTTTTTTTTAAATTTATAACTCTTTGTACTCAATAAATGATGGTTTTTTTCAAATTGCTATAGATTCAAAGAACTTAAAGAATTATTAAATGATTTGCCTTGTTCCTCATTAGTAAACTTGCCAACTTTCGTAATCAATTTTTATCTCCTGACCCTGATATCTTTTCTTGCCCTTGTATGGCAATAATTTTTGCCAACCAGCCTAGAATCGAGGGGCAACAGCTGCGCCAGATGGCTCAAAGGGCCGAAAAGGGAAGCCATCAACTTGTTTGAAATGAATTATCGCCAGCCAGATGAACATTTAATGATGTACAATGGCATCGATGACGTTGTCGCCGGGAAATTTTAATAAATTTAACAGTCGAACGCCCGAGACTTGGGTGGCGCATCTTTCATCTTTTATCGCAAGGGAAAACAATCCTGGCCTCTCGCCGGCAATTAAATAAATGTCCTTAACCCTTGACGTTCCCCGGCTCATTGACAGCCATCAGGCATCGGCAATCAGCCATCCCGGCATCCAGGCATCTCGACATCAGCGTGGAATTTATGAGGACAGGACAGGCCTGTGTCTGTGATTTATCGGACCATTGCACAAACTTACCGATAATTCGAGTTGAGCTGCACATCGCCAATGGCCACGTTCTCGAACAATGTGGGGCAGCAGGTCCATCGCGCCCAGTAGAAGGTGAAGTCGGTCGAATCGTAATGCTCGGTGAAGCGGCACTTGAGCACCAGATCGACGCCCTCACGCGTGTCCAGCGAATCGTCGCCGGAGATCAGGCCAATCGAGAGCCAAAGTTGACCTGGAATGACACAGGAAGGCACACAAACTCGATTACACTAGGGAAAATGGTTAAAAATATTTATGAAGCGGTATGAAATCACTTTTGAAGGTGCCTAAAACAATACAATTCCAAGGAATAAATCACTGCATATTTTTAAGCATTTTTATAATAGCACTGTGTCTGTGACTAAAAGATTATTGAACTTTTGGTCAGCTCCAAGTATAATATTAACTTTATAATATTATATATTTAAATGTATTAATATTTAAAAAAAAATTCAAATCCAAGGTTTCTCTCAGTTCGTGCATACAGGATTTGTTTCCGCATAACTGGCAGCGGCAATTCAATTACCTTGTGCAAATTTTATCCCGCGTACATTTAATTAAGAGAGAACGAGAGAACCCGTCGAAATCCAACACAAATTCATATAACAACATTGATATATCCTCGCTGCTAAACTGATTTGATTTATTTTTTCACTATTATTAACGCAACAGAGCAAAAACGAAAATCAATACCATCAGAGGAGCACCAGCACCAATCGAACATTCATACATACAGCCGTGAACCAAAAATAAAGAATCAACAATGCAAAAAAATAAAAATGGTATTGTAGAAACTCGTGGAAATTGTAAATCTATACCACAAAAATGAATAATTCACATGCCATGCCAACCATAACACAATGGTTAGGGAGTGGAAGAACTGCATCCAAATTGGTTTGTGTTCCCGAAAAGAATTTCCACACAAATTGGGGGATTATTTAACCATAAAGTTGGCTTAGAGTTTTCTATTTTATTTATTTGATATAGAAATTAGAAAAAAAAAAGAAAATATATTAAAAGGACAACCCTTTAAAAAATAATTTTAAATAAATTTTTAATTAATTATGTAGTACACATTTCTGAATTTTAATTGTGTATTTAAATAATGCATTAAACATATTTTTATAATTCACTTCCACTTCCATTGAGCTTTATTATTCCATATTTTTTTTTCTTTTCCCGAAATTAAGGGAAAACTTTCGGAGAGCCAAATTAACCGGAAATAATCGAAATAAAATTTATTGCTCGCATGGAGAGCCCCAAAAAATAATGTGTGCATACGAAGACTTTTTTGTGGGGCATTAAATTTAATTTCTCCATGAGAATTTCCGCGTTTTTCATCAGCTCGAAAGTATTTGCGCATAATTGCTGGTGAAAAATCTGCAAAATAAGTTTTCCGGAAACAATTCCAATCAAATTTCGCTAGCTGCACTTCCTTGTTCGTTTCTTTTTCGTCTATATATCTACATATATATATATTTGGTGTGCGAGGAAGTGAAACTTTGAAGCTTTTACTTGTGGTCGTTTTACAGTTTTAGCAGCACCGCTCAAATAAAACTAAGCACGCAGTTTAGTTTTGGTGAGTTTTTCGCTTTTTTTCGAGTGTGTATTCAGCTAAATGGAGCAAATGGTCGAGTGGACGGCCATTGGGTCGAGTGCTGGCCGGAAAATGGGGGTGGGAAAATGAAGGGAACATGGAGGGAGAATGCTGGGAAAGATGGGGGGTGGTGGATTGTTTGCACATGCAGCGCTTAGTTTTAATTTGTCTGCCTGAATTTTAGTTTTTTGTGTGTTCATGCTTTTTATATTCTCCGCTTTCCTTGTTTTTCCACTCCGCTCAATTTTCATGTATTTTGTTGAGGCAAATCTGTTTTTTCTGCAATCTGCCTGCCCATCCATAGTAGTATGTTTGTGCGAAATTTCCACCCATTGTTACTCCTGGGTTTTTCCTATAAAGCCATATATTTAAACGAAGCAACAGCTTTATTGTGTTGGCTGGGATATTTTGGTGTATAAAACGCATAGTACAAAATACAAACAACTCAATGCACTGCGGCTGCATTTTCGATTCGATTCGATTGCTTCCATCGCTCAAATGTATGCTACATTTTTTTCCACCAGCTGCGTTTTCTTCCGCTCTTCTGTTTTTTAGTTCGATCATGTAGAAACTTTGGTTCCCACTCCCCGTACTGTTATTGTAATTAACAGTTGGCAACCCAAAAAGAAAAGTTTGAAATATTCACAAAAACTAGGCTCCTGGCAATTGTTTGCTTTAAGTTGGTATTTTTCACAAAATACCTTTCTGATATGTTTGCTAAAGCTTGAAAGAGTATGTTAAATTCAGGTTTTTTTATGGCGAGGATTATGTAATTGAGATGAATTTGGATTGTAGTGGGAAGCCTCTTACTTTTTTATTAAATGGAAGGACAGACGCGAATATTTTTCAAAAAAACTTAGTATTGAGCTATTTTTTTTAGATATTATACTATATAAATATATTGTATAGCGCATTTTTTAATTTGCATTTATTTATTTTCATAATTTAAATAATATTTTTTATTAAATTTTACATACTATAAATTATTTTTCTAATATTTCACTGCTTGTCATTTGTCACGAGATTTGAGACAATGCAATAATCATGCCAAAGAGAAATTTTTCCACCTTGTTGGTATCGAAAAACGCACAATTTAACGCAGCTTCTAATCAGTTGATTTTACAAACCGGTATCAAATCAATTATAAGCTAAAATCGCAATTCGATCAACGCAGGTAATTTGAAAATTCAGCAAAATCAACAGAAAATCGAGAGCGGAAAAGCGGAAAAGCTGACTGGGAATCGGAATCGTGTTTAACATTTGCTTTGGCTACCGATTTACATATTTCCATGCAAATAATTATGACTGAACGTTGAGCTTGTCCCCCGAGGGCCTTCAATTGCCATGACCACGCCCCTTCCCGCCGCCCTCTTTTTGTGCATGCAAAAACATGAAATGCATATGCATATAGATTTCATTTGCTTTATATCCCAGCGGCGAAAATTGTCATTACAAAATGGATTACGAATGCATTACTTCTCCTCTCGTAATAGAGAAACAATGGATTACAACATGGATTACTTTGCCATAGGCATGGCCGCCTTGTAATGTGGTCGGGAGACAATTTGCATTACTAGTAATGGGAAAAGTATGCTAGGGCCGAATCACCTTCGGGTCTCCATTACGAATTCAATATACTTTTCCGAAATTGTAATGCAAAATGTAGACGGACTAGAGAAAATTCAACATACAATTTGAAAAACGTATGCTGAGTTGTAATGCATGTTCATTTATGAAAACAAAAAATATTCTTTCCTCATGTAGGAATTGAACATGGGTATTATTGTATAATGGATGGAAAGGCTAACCGCTCGGCCATTGTCTGTGCTTTTTTTAGTTCGTCAAACTATATTTAGAATGCATGCTGTTATTATTAAAGTTCCGAAGCTCAAACGTGAGGGAGGGGAAACGAAAAACGAACACATAGACAATAATTTGTATGTGTGTTTGTGATTTTTGACGAAGGGAAATCGTTAGCAAACGAAAAAACGAAGTCATAGGAGCCCTGATTACAACTTCTCTAACGAAAAGCAGCGATAGTAATCGGTTACATTTTCTTTACATGTAATGCATTTTTTCTCCAGACCCCATTCGCCTGTTCGCCGCTGGGATAAGTTGATTTTTTGAGAGAGAGAGAGAGGTGGGGAATATTACCATGAGCAAGTCGAAAGAAAAACACTTTTTTGGCCAATGCTCGAGGAAAAACTCACTATAAAATGTGTTGAAGTTTTTCCGGGGCTTTCCCACTCCTCTCCCTCTCTTTTTTATTTTATTTTTAGCCTTAAGGCTGCAATGTATTTTGCAATTATTTAAACAAGCTTTTGCAATCTGATGGATTTTAAAATGTAAATTAACTTTGTTTGCATACGAAAGTTTTCACTCACAGCGGGAAAACTTATTCCGGCCCATATGTGTGTTCGTGTGTGTGTATTTTGTAATAATTAGCCATCATTAGAGTTTCGGTAAAGTTTTCCATCGTCTCACTTTTCCTACTACTGGCTTTATGAATTTTTCAATTGTTCGCTGGAGAACTGAGGACTGAAAACTTTATCTCCACTCAGTTCAGTTGAGTTCAGCTCGACTCGAAATGCTTAAACATTCATAAATGCAAGTGCACAATGCACTCAAAGAAAAAGGAGGCATTTTTATTAAGAACTAAATCAAAAATATAAAATTAAATTTGGTTGGTGTTAAAATTCTTAAATTAATAATCTTTAAATTCTCAGTAGAGTATTTATTTATGTTTATATTTTCAATATAACGTTTATTTTTCAAAGTTTATTAATATCCAAACAATCGTTTTTTATGATATTTTTTCCTTGTGTGTAGGAAGGGGGGGAAAATGAAGGCAGAGTTCGTTTGGGCCAAAAAGATGCCAAAGCAAAAGTCAAGTCTGGCCAAATGCAACCCAAACAAACCCAAAGCAAACAACAAAAACTTTACACACACTCGTAAAAAAATGAAACTTTTTTCACTTTACTGTATTGTTTTTTTGTGCTTAGTTTTTTAGTTTTTGTGGCTGTGGTTTTTCTTTTTTTGCGTACGAAGAGTTGGACTTTGTTTGGGGTCGACGACGCGTCTTCATAAACACAAATGCCATCAGATGCCAAAGGATGGGAATAAATATGGTGTCTTTTGCATTAAACGAAGCTAAAATGCTCTTAAGTGGGGATGGAAATATATTATAGTTCTTGGGAAAGCCTCAAAATGTTATAAAAAAATTTAGTTTTTTTTTAAATAGATTTAAGTAAATAAAAATAGTAATATTGATTAAAATTAATATATTACGCATAAAAATTATGTTTATTTGCCTTTTTATCTTTTCTAAAACCTATTTATATTTTGTATTTTATTTACTTATATTTTTCTATTCTACTTGAAAAAAATTATGATTTTATTTCTAACATTTTTCTCAAGTGCGTCACATTTAGTGGAAATTTAATGTACTTATGGCTTTCAGAGGGCATAATCAACCGAAGTGTGTTGCACTTTGGCTACAACTTCCCCTGCAGCCATTCGAGTATCCTGTACTTCCCATTTTCCTTGCTTTTCCCCCTTCCCCTGTCACATTTTCTCAACACAGCCACGAAACATCC